GGCTAATGTAGGGGCTCCTACATTAACTAACATTCTCTTTTTCAAAGAAAGGAAACCATCTGTACATACAGGTACGATCACAAAGGGAGAGGGACCTAACTGACAAAGAAAACCTCTGCAGTTCTGGTAGTGGGGTTGTTCTGGTTTTGCTTATTTTTAACAGGCTTTCACGATATAGTTCGGGTTGGCCTAGAACTAGGCTTTTATAGGCTGAAACACCTGAATAAACCTACAGCCCCTATTCCTGCAAAAACAAAAGTGTCTGTGTGAGAAGGTGAGGGGCTTCCTCAGAAGTTCTTGGGGGGAGGGGGGAAGGGTCTTCACCAGCACACATCCCAGCAAAGACCAAACAAAATGAAAGAAAGCACCTCATTGGCTAGCGAGATGGCTCAGTCATAAGTCTGGTGATCTGAGTTCAATCCCTAGAACCCACATAACAGTGGATGTATATTGGCTCCATTTTTGTCCTCTGTACCCTATTCTCTCTCTCTCTCTCTCTCTCTCTCTCTCTCTCTCTCTCTCTTCATTTTTGTCCTCTGTACTCTATTCTCTCTCTCTCTCTCTCTCTCTCTCTCACACACAACACTCTCAAGTGCACACACACTCTCTTTCACTCTCTTATAAACATACACACTCTCACACACACACTCTCTTACACACACACACACTCTCTCACACACACACACACAAATTCTCTCTCTCTGGCATGTGTGCCTCTCCTCACAATAATGATAATTTTTTTTTTTTAAAGCAGAGGCAGAAGGACCTCTATGAGCATGGCTATTACAGTGCAAACCCAGCTTGAGCATCCTTGTTGGGAAAAGCGGACTGCAAATGTAGAACTACCAGTGGAAATTTTACAGTTGCCAGTTTGGTATTTCCAAGAAAACTTTCAGTTAGTTTATTACATATTCAGAAGCCAACTTTTTCCTGTGCCTAAAAAAAGTCACAACCTGACCTACTATTTAATTGTTAGCATAAAACCATCTTAAGAGGACTCACTTAAAAAATTACATACATTCTTAAAACAGTTCCAATAAAAAGCAAAACTGTACTTCCCTTCAAATTTAAAGAACGAGAAGGCAGGTGATGGAGGAGGCTGCTCTACCAGGGGACCCAAGTTCAATTTCCAGCACCCACATGGCAGATTACAACTGTCTCTTACTCTAGCCCCAGGGGACCCAACACCCTCACATAGACACACACAGGCAAAACAGCAACACACATAAAAATAAATAAATCATTAAAAAAAAGGAAAGAGCTTTTGCTCAGTGAAACCATCTTCAGTGAGACCTGTGCTTCTCCTTGTTCTCACTACTTTGTATGCGTGACAAGGTGATCCCCAGGCTGGACTAGCTCCAGAAGGTCCTTAAAAGGCCAGACACCAACCAACCAGTCTTAGGAGTCACCCACTGTCTAAAGACCTTACACAATATGTAGGGTCGGTTCCCACCCCTCACCCGGGAGACACCCCTCCCTCCCCCAGACACACTCTGCAGCCACAAACTACCCTGGAGAGCTCTGCTGATGTAAGGCTCCCTAAGAAGAAAACATTTATACAGAAGGAAAGAGCGTGAGAGTCACTAGAACGGGAAGGACCAAACAATTGAGTGGCTGCGGCTGGGGGGCGGGGGCAGGGCCAATCCCAGCCTCTATTCATTTACCGGGGAATCTGGCAGAGGAATCAGAAGAGCAGACTGGTAGAATGCTGAGGAAAGGCTGCCCGAGCTGAGGACAATTCAAAGAGGCTTTCAAAAACAGCTACTTAACGTCTGTCCTATGGGCTTTATTTAAATTTGATGAGAAGGTCGGAGAAATAGTTCTTTCTAGCTTCTAGACTTCTCTCCCAATCTGCAAGGAAGCTATGGGGGCAGGCGGTATCTTCATCACAGAAACTACTGTGTAGCTCTGCCACACACCCTCTGCCACGTGCCAGGCCATGCCAACCAGGAGTCCTGACCTGGTAGCAGAACAGAGCAGGCCGAAGGTGCTGTTTTGAGTCTCAGCACGGTACACCTAGCATGCAGATGACAAAAAAAAAAAAAAAAAACTGCAAAAAAAGAGTGATGTGTACCAATAAATCTAACCCCTCTACAAAGTCCAGAGACTCGACTTCCCCAGGCAACTTGTGACGAAGTAAGCAGTAAGCTACACCAACTGTGGACCTAAGGGAGTCAGAACCCATCCCAAGATCAGGTAACGGAAAGCCCTTCCATCTGTTACTATATGGTGTATGGTGATGGTGTTAAAGGCAGTGGGAGGGAGAAACCACATGCAAAGGACATCCACCCCAGAGCCCCTCCTGCTTAAAGCAAACAACCTTGTCAAAAGGAAGTCAGACCCAGCACTGGAGAGGCTGGGGCACGAGTTCACGAGTTCAAGGCCAGCCTAGGCTACACAGGAAGACCATTATTTATCTCATAAACAACAAAAGACCTGGGCCAGCAAGATGGCTCGGGGAATAGACGTATTTACAGATAGACCTGACGACCTGAATTCAGTCCCTACAGCCAGCATGGTGGAAGGACAGAACCAATTCCGATAGCTGCCCTCCAAACTCCACACTCGGGCAGTGGCACATGCCCCTACTACCACCAAATAATAAATGCAAAAAAAAAATAATTTTTTAAATTTAAAAACTATGCCCGAAGTGGTGGCTGACACCTTTAATCCCAGTACCTGGAATGCAGAGGTAAATGAATCTCCCTTAAATTTGGGGGGGGGGAGCAGCCATGATAAGCTAAATCTGGGCAGGTCACCCAAAGGAAGCTCTTTACTTCCCACCATTATCACCTGGGACTCTGGTCATCGATGAATTTAAATGGAGTCTGGAGTCTCAATAGTTTATCCTGAGACAATGCCTGGCTGCAGGAGGAACCACAGGCTGAGACCCCCACCCAAGAGCAGACCATTCAAAGGAAATGCCTGGCATTCCAACCGCTGTAGATAGGATCACCTGCCAGGGCACCTCAACAGGACACCCCTGGACAAATGTCAGTCAATCAGAGGTCCTGAACCTCAGAAACCCCCCTCACCCCCACCTTTACTACTATAAAAACCCAATTCCAACTGAACTCAGGGCTCTCCGTTTATTACAATATGTCGGACATGCAGAGAGACCGAGTTTGCAAACTTGATTAAAATAAAGGCTCTTTGCTTTTACATATGGGTCTTGGTCTCCTTTGTTGGCTCGGTGGGGACTCCATGGATTTGGGTAACAAGCTCAAAGCCAACCTGATCTACACAGCGAGTTCCAGGCTAGCCATGGCTACATAGTTGAGGCCCTGTCTCCAGGAGTTAAAGCATTGCAACAATGAATTAAATTGTCCCCGAGAAGGTACGTTAAAAGGCATAATTTACCAGAAATGTGCCCTTATTTGGAAATGGTATCTTCAGAGGTGCAATGAAGTTAAAATGAGGTCACGCTAGTCTGGAGAGAGTATTAAACTGAATGGCCTGAGTCCTCATAGCATGGCCACAGGAAGACACAGACTTTCAGGGAAAACCCACCGTGTGATAAAGCAAAGAAGAATTAGGTGGCCGCAAGCCAAACCCCAAGGGCTATTGACAAGCAGCAGAAGTTAGAACAGACAAGAAAGTTTTCCTCAAGTCTTCAGGAGCCTGACTCGGCCAACACTCGGGTTTCAGACTTCCGATTCTGATCAGCTCTCAGCAACTATGAGAGTAAACTTGTTTTGAGCTCCTTGGTTTATGGAATTTTGTTCAGATACCCTACAGCCGCTCCTATCTCACTCTGAAAACCTATCATCATTATAATTGCCTGGCCTGCCTCTCGCCTTGCTGACTTCAGCTCCTGTTACTTAGCAGCCCAGTCATTCCACGTGGGCAGCACTGGCCTCTGGGCCTGCTCCTCCAGAATGCATGATTCTCTAGACCCTAGGGCTCCATGCTTAGGGGCTGCCTCTCTGCAAACACCGTTCCCTCTGCAGAAAGGATTCTTCACCCAAAAACACACACAACTCTTGTTTCCTCAACTCTCGCCTTAGGAGTCTGTTCACGGTACTGTCTCTATCAGGTTCCCCTAAACTAACTTCCCGCACCATGAACCAGACCCATAGGTCAGCCCCCACCCCCACAGTTCTCCACAGAACTTAACATAACTCAACAGATATTTTGCTTTTACGGCTTAAAAGGTTCGCCTCCCTCCAAAATGTTGCTCAGTGAAATCAGGGATTCAACTTCCGTATCACAGTGCCTCTATTGACTGAAGGGAACAAATTAATTCCTATTAGAACAAATGAAATTTTATCCAAAACTATGTAACAATAAACCAAGCATGGCGATGAGGGCCTATCATTCCAGGATTGGAAGCGGCAGAATCAGTTCAAGGCTATATTCAGCTACAGAGTGAGTTTCAAGGCTACCCCGGGCTATCTAAAACCCTGTCTCAAAAAAATAAAATTTTTATTAATTTAGTGGGCCGGAGGCATCTAGAATTGAAGGGAATGTATGAGATTGGGCTCTGGGGGGAAAAGGAGAGGGTGTGTGTTGTTTACACTGAAGGGCTCCCAACCAGTCCTTGGTGGGAAGGAAAGGCAAGCAATTTTGAAACTGTTTAAGATTCCTGACTCAAAAATCAACTCTTACCTATAATTTTGTGTCTAGCCACACCCTTGTAGAAACAACTAGACTGCGGACTCTGGGAGGCCAGATTTAAACATAACCCAACCCGCCACTCACCCAACTTTTACTTATTCGGGGTTAGGAGCAGGAATGGCTGGGAATGTCGATAATCTCATACTCCAAAAGCATAATCTCTCTTCAGAGAATGAAGCTTGGGATCACCAAATCATCAAAACGTTTATTTTACAAAACAAAAAGCCAAGCCTTCCAAATCAGCCTCTTCTAGAGCAAGGAGACAATTGCTAACTTCTCTCAAGTGGCTCAAGTGGTCCTCGAGAAGCACATGCACCCCTTCTTATGGTTCCCCCCCCTTTAAAAGTTAAAACCAAAAAAGTGGATAATTAAAGTTGTTTTACCTTGGGGTTTGGCCTCAGGTTCTGCCAATCCTAGAGGTGAGCCACAAGACTCCTTGAGAGGCGATCTGATTGGGGTTTCCGCTTCAGGAGTCTCAAAATTACCTTCAGAATCCGAGCTGCCAGGGGGGAAAAACGAGGCATTACCACGGTCAACGGTATTTCGAACTGCCTTTAAACTGCACTTACAACGGTGCAAGTCCAGGACCTCCGTCTAACTTTACAACCAACCAATCCTCAACCCGGCTGAGGGAGAGGCTGCGGCAGTTTTTCAGCGATGCACAGCATCCTAGCTCCCCGAAATCTCTTCTGTCCTCTGGAACGTCTCACCAGGACCACTTATTTTTGAGGTCATCTTTGCCTTTCACACCCGAAACGGGGGGAGGGGAGCTTTCCAATCAACTCCTCGTAATGGACCCCTTTTCCAGAGGCTTAAAAGTGAATATCGCCCCCCCCCCACCCCGACCCAAACTAAGGCAATTCTTAACCATGCCTTCCTTGTTCCTTGGTAGGCCTCTACCTGTCTCAAAGTCACTCGCGGCTGAAAATGCCGTCACCTGCCTTCCACAATCACACGTGTGACAGCTCAGCAGAGACCACCATTTCTCACCAGCTGCCAGGGGCCTGTCATCACGCGATCCTCTCTTACCACGGCAGCATTTTCGGACACTGCGGGGCCGAGATGGATGCGGGGGAGGGGGCGATGATTTCCTGCCCACAGGGTAAAAGCTACAAAACCCACCTGGTCTCATCAACTGACACCACCCGGTGTGGCTGTGTCGGAGCCGGGGTGTCGACGCTTAAGAGAAAACGAGCCAGGCAAACCGGGATGGGGAGACCGCCGATTCGGGGCTGGGTTCAGAAAGCTCACAGCGAAGACATGGGACGAAAAGCACACGGGCAGACAGAACATCCCGAACTTTCGGGTGCACAGCGGGGACCCGGCTGCGGGCAAGACGCAGCCAGAGCCGGCAACACGGTTGCGCGCACACAGCATGACCGCGGTGGGAGGATGGCGCGCGCCTGCATCCCGGCTGGGATGCGGTGTACTTGCCTGAAACTCAGGGATTTGGTCTCGGCTTGCGAGTCCTCCTCCTCTTCGGGGTCACCCTCGGGACCTCCGGTTTCTTCCTCGCCCGCGCCCGCACCGCGGACCGCGGACCACGTCCACTTGGCCCACTGCACAGGCGACAGGATCTGCCAGGGACTGAACGCCATGAGCGCGGCTGCCGCCCCGGCGGTGGGAACGGCGGCCTCCTTCCTTCAAAATGGAGGGGCTGTGACAGGCGCCGGCGACCCGCGGATGTGGCTTAACGGGCGAGCGCCGTCGGGCCGGGCGCAGCGCTTCCTCCCACGGCCCGCAGCGCCGCTCGCCCCCCCTCGGAGGCGCGGGGCCGGCGCATGGCGCACCCCCTCCATTTTGAAGGAAGGAGGCCGCCGTTCCCACCGCCGGGGCG